GGCGCAGTCTTTTGTAAAACTTCACATCACATGTTGTTGTTAAATCTATTTAATTACGGAAAATCTATTCGTTATGCCAAGAAACGGCACCACAAGAATTAAAATAGATAAGTTTTAAATTTATCTCTTATACACATGGCATTTTCTCGGGAAATAGAATCCGCTTGAACATTTTGTAATATAATATTTATTGGCACTATTTCAATTATGTTTTAATTTTTTGTTGGAGAACCATTGAACCATCCAACGATCTTCTATCATCCTACCACTTGTATGCTGACGATTTGCAAATTTATTCACAGGTACCTCCTCATGAATTCTCCGAATCAGTTAAAATGATAAATACAGATTTGGCGCGAATTTCGGAATGGAGTAAGGTTCAAGGGCTACGGGTTAACCCTTCGAAGACACAGCTCATTGTTGTGGGTAGCTCTCGACTGAGCTCAAGAATAAATTGGTCGCAGGTCCCACCGGTTGTATTCAATGGCACTACAATAATGTACAATATAAAAGCAAAGCCTGCGTGATGGCTTTTTTTTCATGGTGTGACGATCATCTAATGACATCCCTTGCTCTTGAACGGAGAGGGAGATAGTGTCACACTTTTGCTGACTAAAAGCCCACTCCTGTTCCTCCGTTGCTCCGTTGTTCGTACCGGGGCTTGAGCTATCTTTCGAATTAAGCCTGACCCCAGTAGGCTTCGACCTAGCTGGGTTCCTGCTGTTGCTGACAGTTCCTTAATACATTGGATGCCGTGTCGGACAATAGTGTCCGACGCTAGCGGAGTATTAGCCCTTAACAGTTTTTTATCGGCAGTTAAAGGGTTAAGGCCCGCGGGAACAGTGAGCGCCGTCGACGACTTGGACTCGGTCCGGACAGTTACCAGACGGTCGGATAATGGCCTGTACCAAAACCCGGCGCGAGATATCGCCGCCGCCAATTGCCCTCCCGAGGGCACAGCGATACTCCACCCAAGCAGGGCTTCCGTGTGATGGTTTACAGCTCATTCCCTCCGGCAGAGAGAAGACCTGTGTCCCATCAGTGGGTACATTAAAAGGCTGATAATGATGATAAAAGTGAAAGTATGATGTGTAAAAATGTTTTCGTACGAATAAACTTGGTATGTAGACAGCTGAGTGGATCTGGTTTAACACAGGCTACTTTTTACCTAAACATTTATACTATTACTTCAAGCTTACCTATTGACTTCATTTTTTCAGGAAAAGACAGCGTTTTAATGGCAACTCTCCTCAATCTTCTGCTAATAGTAGTGAAGTAATAAATACTACAGATGAAGAAAATGTATTTTCTAAAAATAATATAAATCGACAACAAAACAAAGTTAATATTAAACAAAATGAAAAAGTTTCCAAAAAGCAATTGAAAAGATATTTACGATCGACTAAATTTGGTGACAATCCTGTAGTTTCTACTAATAATACTATATTATTACTACCACCACTTGCAATATGTCAAAACTGGAAATCACAAGAATTGAACCCTCAGGACACTCCTATTGATGAAGTGCTTACCGCTGACGTTATCCAGGCTAGTTCTATTGGCGAGAAGCTTACCGCTAATGTTATCCAAGACATGTCTCCGGGTAATGTTTTTGCTTGCAGTAAGCTTTGACCTGCAAAAAGTGCTTAATACTCCTCATGGAGAGAGTATGTTGTTATATTACTTTATAATACGGCGTATTAGAAAATACGCCGTTTATAACTGTACATTCCATGAAAGTCAAACTAAAAGAGAATACTGTTATATATGGGGAGAAACGGATGGAAAAAGGGGTGGCAATGAAATTGCTACTTGTATTTATAAATTCCTACTCGAAATTGATAAACGTACTGTTAAAAATGTTTTACTTTATTGCGACTCTTGCCCTGGGCAGAACAAAAACAAGATAGTTCTCACAGCCCCTCACAACTCCTTGAAGTGGTACAAATAAATTACTACCTGGGCATGCTTATATGCCTGTCGATACGATGCATGCAGTCATTGAACGCGAGGTTAGACGAATTATTGTTAGGAGTCGGAGTGAATGGCCGACGTATATGGAATCTGCAACAAAACGTCCTGAACCATACGAAATTAATGTTTTGGAGTATTCCGATTTCCTCAACAGGGACAACTTGGTGTCTGAAAAATTTACCAATATCTCTCAAAGACAAATACAGCTATAAACGCAATGCGCATTGTCACATTCAAGAAAAAAAACGCTAAAAGTGTGGATATAAAATATTCGATGAAAGAAAACGAAGAAGCTCAAATAGTAGCATTGTACGATGAATATAAAGGAAGAGGATCAAGAGGAAAAGGCAAAAGGAAAAAAGCAAGAAAACAAAACCAAGATCTAACAGGTGCCGACAAAATAGAAGATGATACTTCTAATATTGGTTTACCAACGCTTTATAAAACATAACCCTATACATAAACATAACATAACCATAACCATACCAGTCGCCAAGTATAAAGATTTAAAGCGTTTATGTACTAACGGAACAATACCAAAGCGATTTCATAAGGATTTCATAAGTTACTGTTTAATGATCTCAAACATTTTACTGTTTAACCTTTCAATTTCCATGTCTACATACATGGAATTTGAAAGGTTAAACAATATTTTTTTATCAAGTCACGTAATTAATTATTTATGGTAAGTTACTTCACTAAAAAGTACTAGCCTTATAAAAAGGTCAAATAATTAGACCTCCAACTTATTTGACCATTTGTGAGACTAACAAAGAAGAAAGAGCCTAATTTCTCGTGACTTCAGATTTGGGTGCAAGATGTCAGTCAGACCTGTGAAGTTATCCATGTGACAAAAAATCGTTGATACGAACTAAAAATTGTCTCTAAGTCGTAGAGCCATAATTGAAACTGATTAAAAGTAAATTAATTTGCGTATTATCTGCCTCGAAACCTTGAATAATGTTTCGAGGGATCTATACCTTTCCAAGTTGGACTTCTGGTGTCCGTAAAAAGCTTAAAGCTGCTTGCTTGCTTGAGTTTTCTCATAATAAAGTACTCCGGATTTCCTGAACATCATCAGCATGGGTTTGTGTTTGATTTTGGTCCAATTGTCGGCATGCTTCTGTCTGCTGCTGTATGATTACTTCAAACCAGTGACAACCTGGTCTGTCTGGGTTTTCTTGCTTTATTTTTAACACTATGCAACATCTGCGTTTTAGTTACAGGAAATAACTACTGCTTGGCATCGGCTAAATTGTGAAAAGCGAGAAAAAGCTTGGTGCTCCTTATTTTTAAATAATTGAATTACGACAAATTTTTTAGTAAATACCTCTTAGAGGTATATTTGAAAGTTTTTACTATTTTATCAGAAATTAGCAAATAACGTGTTAATTTTGTTTCAGGTGCCATATTAAAGGCCATGGACGCAGTTAGAAAAGGAGCCTCAATTTCAGCTGCAGCCAGGCAGTATAATATTCCACGGTCAACGTTGGACAACAAAATACGCGGCCACTATTCTATTGAATGTTCCAAAGGACCTGCTATAGTTTTATCAAAAGAAGAAGATCATTTAAGTAGATGGATATTTTATATGGCAGATAGTGGATTTCCTGTAACTAAGGCGCAGTTGTTAGATAGCGTAAGTTTACTTATTAAAGAATTGAAGCAAGAAACCCCTTTTAAAAATGGCAGACCAGGTCGTCACTGGTTTGAAGCCTTTATAAAGCGACACCCTGAAGTAGGCCAGCGAGTGGCCTAAAATCTAACGCAAGCGCGTGCTTTACTTCAAGAAAGCAGTTTAAGAGCGTGGTTTAAAGAAGTGGAAGACTATTTTATTATGGCACACCTCGAGGAAGCCATTAAAGATCTCATATACAATATTACAAAGACAATAGCAGAAAGTGAAAAAGATAAAAGGAACTTTTTTAACAATGACACTCATTAGTGGATTAGAGAATGTGATTCTGTTTACTTAAAGAACTTCTGTGTACTCATTAGATTTTTACATGACTTTCCTGATCCTTTGCTAGACTATAAATATTGGACATTATTTGAAATTTGGCATCAGTTGCTCTACCAACACTTAACTGTTACTTACTGTGCTACATACTTCCTTCTTCATTCTTCTTCATTATAAAAATGGAAAACTTCAGTGAAATAAGCATTAGTTCTTTCTTTTTAGCACCCATTGAGGAGAATATAGAACAATCCAACAGTGAATTCAATCAGGAGCTGTTTAAAATTTGTGTTGAAATGGAGAAGCGTGAACTGTTCAATTCATCGTAAGATGATGAGTTGTATAATCAATGTTTGATGCTTGAAACAACGTTGATATAAGTATTAGAAGTACAAACTCAATAAGAAATATTATTGTAGTAATGTTTTTTTAAGATCTGTGTAATAATTTTCTTTTTTGTTACAGCCAACAACAAGTTGGAAGAGGTATCAAACAAGGGATCACTACCGATGAAAATAAGGTTTCCAAGAAAGCAAAATTTCACGAAAGAGCTTCTACATCATCAATTGAAACAAATGACGTGGACAACAATAAGGTGGAATGTGATACATGTCATGTTTATAATATTAATAAAAGGTATTTAAACAACCATTTAAAAAGCAATACACATAAAAATAATCTTTTAAAATCACGTAATTCATTAACAAATGTTACAGTTGTTGAAACCGCTTTTGGACCGCAATCGAATTGTAACATATAGAATTAATAGTAAAACACATCAATCGGGACAATATTTTGAAACACCGGAATCGTTTTTAAATTCATTAAAAATCGATATCTTATTTTTGATAAATGAATGTATTCAACAACACACATTTTTTAAAATAAACTTCATATTGCATGCTGATTTCATACAACAAACTAAAGATATTAAAAATACGTTTGATTTTCAAACGTTTAATTACATAATATGTCAGGGAGATGACTTAAATATTTTTTATTCATCATTAATGTCTATTCAACAAATTTTTATTGAATATTGAATATTGAAAAAAAAGATAGTGGTTGGAGTCTTAATCAAATTAAATACATAGATATGAATGTTAACAAATTCAACCCCCCTACGTGGTAGTTCATATATCAACCTTCCTCAAGATATTAAATCAAAAAAAGCTGTAATCAATGTTAAAAATAATGATAATATGTGTTTCAAATGGGCATTGCTCTCCGGTTTATATCCTGTATGAAAATGTAGATCGGGTAGCATCTTACGCAATTCATGGAAATAAACTAAAATTTACTGATATTTCTTTTCCGGTTAAAATTGCAGATATATCAAAAGTAGAGAAATTAAACAATATTAGTATTAATGTTTTTGGTTTAGAGTATACTAAAGAAAAAAAGTGCAATTCTGTTGTAGGTCCTTTATATTTATCAAAATGTCGTACACCTAATCATATTAAACTACTAGGTATATATCGAATGGTACTAATAATCATTACTGCTATATTAAAAACTTATCGCGATTAGTTAGTTCACAAATATCAAGACAACATTATGCAGTTTATATCTGTGATTCATGTTTACTTCATTTCCCATCAAAAGAAAGACTTAATAACCATCAACAATATAATTGCGCTCACATTTGTACGGAATTACCAAACGGTGAGGATTCCAAAAAGGATTGGTTAGGTAAAGCAACCTCAAATAATAAATTAAAATTCGATAAATTGGCGAAAAAGTTGGAAATGCCGTTTGTGATTTATGCAGACTTTGAGGCATTTTTGAATCCGATAGAATCATGTAGTAACGACCCATCCAAGCCCAGTACAATTAATATTCAAAAACATGAAGTGTATAGTTTTGGATATTACATTAAATGTTCATATGATAACAGATTATCAAAATATGAGACATATAGTGGGTCAAACTGTGCACAAGTGTTTATGAATCGCCTTTGTGAAGATGTGAAAGCAATAGTTAAAAAAAATACTTTCCATAAATGTCCCGTTCCATTATCAGAGTAGTAGGATTCGTACAATAGGAGCATTCGTACAGTCGTTATTCCTACCGCTGTAGAATACTTTGACAGGTCTGTGTTTGTGTGCGTGAGACCCACTCGCACGCATAGGTTACTCGCGGGGTGAGACGTCAGTGCAGCCACCGGCTTCGACGCAACGAGTCGTAACGTGGATTCGTACGTGTACGAATGCTCCCCGTGCCTGACTGGACATTATTTTTCAGCACAATCTAATATTGTTACAGAACCATGCCGCGAATATATATTAAAAAAGGGACGAGGACGGGAGAGGCAGATGAAGGTGCAATGGAATCGGCGATAAAAGAAGTTTTGGATAAGACATTATCTATTAGAAAATTTGCACAAAAATATGGCGTCAAATCAACAACACTCGAAAGTCGTCTGAAAAAGTTTCATCAACAAGAAGCTGCCGAAAATATGCCTACCCATGCTTTCACTTCCAAGTTTACGTCAAATCAAGTCTTTTCAACTGAGGAGGAAGCCTTTTTAAACAATTACATTATTGAATGCTCCAAAATGCACTACGGTCTGACGATCATCCAGGTCAGAAAATGTGCATATGAGTTTGCAAAAGCCAATCAGCTTAATTTTCATCCGAGTTGGCATCATAATAAAATGGCTGGTAAAGAATGGATGGATAGTTTCCGCAGGCGAAACGGAAACCTGAGTCTTAGAAAGCCTGAAAATATCAGCGCCGCAAGAACATTTGCTTTTAACAAGACTGCTGTAACTGGTTTCTATAATAACCTTGAAAAGGTTCTAACAAAGTACAAATTTACTGCAGATCGTATTTTTAATTTTGACGAGTCCGGAATTTCCACAGTGCTAAGCACACCTAAAGTTTTAGCTGAAAAGAATCAGAAACAAATAGGCCAACTTGTGTCAGCAGAGAGGGGAGAACTAGTTACATTTGGAGGAATAATTTCAGCAAGTGGTAATACAATTCCGCCACTATTTATCTTCCCGAGGGTTCACTTCAAAGACCACTTTATGACAGGTACACCAGAAGGAAGCCTGGGAGTTGCAACAAAAAGTGGGTGGATTACTTCTGCTATATTTATAGAGGTACTGAAACACATTCAAAAGAGATCGTCGTGCTCTAAAGATAATCCCATTTTGTTGCTTGTCGACAACCATGAGAGCCATGTGACTATTGAAGCTGTAAACTATGCTCGTGATAATGGGATTGTTTATCTATCCTTTCCACCCCACACGACACATCGTCTCCAGCCTTTAGACATCGGTGTATTTGGACCTTTTAAGGCCAAACTCAAGATAGCTTTTAACGATTGGCACGTGAATAACCCAGGCAAAACCCTCAATATATATAATATACCACGTCTGGCTAAGATAGCATATTTTGAATCCTTTACTGGTAAAAATATCACTCATGCCTTTGAGAAGGCCGAAATATGGCCTTTTATAAGTTAGCTTTTTGCGACGACGATTTTGCACCTGTGAATGTATACTATTCTAGTTCAACCCAAGATGCTCAAACGAACCCACAAGCTTCAACTTCTTCACTACCACAAGCGTTACAATCCACGCAAGATGAGCAATCAAGTTCTGTAGCCGTTCAAGATTACGATGTGCCAGAGACCATACCAACAGACCCCATACAGACAGAGCTTATTCAACAAAACCTTCCAAGTTGTTCATCATCTGTGTCTCCATCTTTGCTATCACCTACAACAGTAACAGATTGCTTACCAGCTGTGGGGTTGATCACCCCAGAGTTAGTCAGGCCATATCCTAGAGTGAACAGAGATTCAATAAAGAAAACAAGGAAAGATAAACTACCAGGCAAATCTAGAATTTACACTGATACTCCGGAAAAAGATAGATTGGAAGAAATAGAAAAAGGAAGACTATTGAAGAAGCAAGTGCAAGAGAAAAAACAAAAGGCTAAGGCCATCAAAAAAGCTCTACATCTTGTCCTAGATGCAGATAACGCATCTTCCATAAAGAGGAAATCTCAATCGAAAGAGTCATTTAATTTAAAGAAGCAAAAGAAAACTACAAAGACTGATAGTGAAGATAAAACTGACTCTGAAGATGAGACTGATTGTGAAGATGAAGTGAGTTTAACAGAAAGTTCTGCTTCTCCTGCGGAAGAAATTGATGCCGAAAATGAAACCCCAGTTTTAGCAGAAAACATAGAAGAAAAAAGTTTTGTGCTTGTTAAGTTCGAGAAAAACTAACTCACAAAGTGTTACTCGTGCTTGATAATCATTCATTGCACATTCACATTAATACCTTGGATTATTGTAAAGAAAACGGGATCACTTTACTTTCATTTCCCCCACATTGCTCTCACAAGCTTTAGCCTCTCGACCGGTCTGTCTTCGGACCTTTAAAAAAAGCTATTAACACTGCTTGCGATGGATGGATGCGAAGCCACCCTGCTAAAATGATGACAATATATGATATACCAGGTATCATCAAAATTGCTATGCCTCTGGCTCTTACACAGGCGAACATACAGGCTGGTTTTATGAAAACTGGGATCTATCCATACAACCGTAATCTGTTCGGAGATATTGACTTTGCACATTCTTTCGTAACCGACAGACCAAACCCTGATACTGAAGACAATATTCCTGCAGTACCGTCACCTGAAAGAACTAGACCAAATCCTGACACTGAAAATATTGCTTCTGCAATACCATCTCACACAACAAGAGGAACAGACACTGAAGATATTTCTCCTGCAGCACCATCACCTGTAATAAGCAGACCAATCCCTGACAATCAAGAGGATGCTCCCATATCACCATTTTTAGTAAATATTGCCAACCTTGACTGTATTCAGAAAGAAAATTTTGTTATTGAGAATTTTGGACCTAATAATAAAAGTCCACCACTTTCACCTTCTATATTAGACAATACACCAAGCCAAAATTTTAGCAATGTTCAACCATCTACTTCTGCCATACCATCAGTTTTTTCTCCTGAAATTGTTCGGCCCTTTCCAAAAGCTTCCGAAAGAAAAACCGAGGACCTAGAACCAAGAAGTCTACGATTTACACGGACACGCCTGAAAAATAGGCAGTCAGGCAAGAATATGAAGCAAAAGAAAAACGACTGCAAAGGGCATCAAAAAAAATCTCAATGAGCCGAAAGGAAAAGGTAAAGCAACGAAAAGGAAACAATCACCGTCAATATTAGATGAAGAACAATATTTTTGTTTGGTGTGCCTTGGTCCATATTCTGAAAGTAGGCCTGGCGAAAAATGGATTAAATGCCAAGGAAAGTGTAACCTTTGGGCCCATGTAGACTGTACAGATGGTAGTCGGTATTATATTTGTCACAACTGTGATGAGTCGGATTAGATTAGTTGTCAAACTTACTTTTATACATTTTCACATGCTACATTTCTAAAAAAATATTTGAGTTCCTGTTTAAAAGATTTTGAGCACGTTGTTATGTTTTGAGTTTAGTTTCAAAATAGAATAGAGTTTAAGTTCTAATGTGATTATGAACATGATTAATATACCTTATATATAGAGGTATTATATTTGTTAAGTCCGCTTTAACTAATTTTAAGTGCAGACTGTTATAAATACTTTAAGGTACTTAAATAGTGGGTATAGATAAAGACTGACTGTACTAATGAAGACTACTGATTGTAACCAAAGATCCTATAGTGCCTTATATGTTGTAAGAAATTAAAATGTTCAAAGATTTTATTTCTTTTGTTAGGAAAGTATAATTTAGTTGATTATTATATAAAAATAAATAAATATTTTTTTGCAATTAAAGTGTTTTATTGGCATTTTAGAGTATTTCTATCTTATTTTGTGATCATATTACAGTATTTTCATCGTGTCACTATTGACCCCCAGTACTGTCACAACCGCCCTTGGGGTGGGTACGGTTGTGACAATTTACCTTTTTTTTTAAATTTCATTTTATGAACTAACCATTTGATTTAGACATATACTTTCATGTTTATACGTTAAGCAATGAATAAACTTCATAAGAATTCATTTTTTGTTCAGATTAATAGCATAAATAAAAAGCTATAGTCAATCATTTGAAAATTGTCACAACCGTACCCAGTCTACCCTACACAGTATCACATCGCAACGATGATTGCCCGGTCGAGGCCCGTCTTAGTAATTTCAGACACGGAACCGGCTCGGTGACCGTGTTACGGCCGACACTTGGCTCGGACCCGACACGGTCTAGCGTGAATCATCCTTAATTCAGATGAAATCAACATTGGTCCCATATTTTACGCGCTGCTGGTTAATAAAGAGAAAGAGACATATGAAATGATGCTCAAAAAAAAAAAAAGGGGTTTGCCAGATTTCAAACAGTTAAAATTCACATTGGATTTTGAAATGTCAGCACTGTCTGCAGGACCGGACGGAATACCGGCTTTTCTGTTTAAAGATTGTGCTAACCACTCGCAGAGCCCTTACTTTATATTTTGTATATAAGTCTCGATTCGGCGACGATCCCAGCTCAATGGAAGATTACGCGAGTCTACCCAGTATCTAAGGAAAAGGCGGGATTAGAAATTAGTGGTTATAGACCGGTGACAGTACTGTCGACGTCGGTCAAAGTGTTTGAGTCCGCTATTCAGAGCTGCATACAAAGACAGGTAAGTGGGCAGCTTTCGGACGCACAGCACGGATTTAATTGGGCCTCCGGTAACCTCACTCACACGACGAAACACAACGAAAGCGTTGCTTCACGTCGGTTTTCTGTGAGGCCGTGGTATCACTCCGGTCGAGCCGGCCAATTCATGCCGAAGCATGGCTCCACACTTAAATTTGAATTGGATTTATAATAATGATAAATGACTTGCCGGACGTCATTAGACATGGCTGCTGTTTACTGTTCGTAGATGACCTTAAGTTACTGATGGAGGTACAAGATAAGTCAGACTGTGAGCGATTACAGGAGGATATAGACCGAGTACTGGAATGGAGTGAGAAGAACAGGCTATACTTCAACGTAGCAAAGTGCGCGGTGATGAACATAACGCGTGCTCGTGTGCTCTGATGCATGAATAGGTACTAGACGCGGTGCCTATGCAACGTGTCACGGAGTTGTGGGATTTGGGGGTTATGGTGACTAGGGAAATGTCATTTCGTGACCATATTACGAAGATCTGTAAAAGGGCATTTAATTTTAGAAACCTTGGTTTTGTTCTGAGGCAGACGAGGAGATTCACCAACATTGCACACAGTTAGGGTCTTGTATGACGCATTAGTTAGGAGTCATCTGGAACATAGTGCTGTCATATGGGATCCGCATGAGACAAAGTACAGTGTAATGTTGATCTTACTATTATTTATTTTAAGTTATGATAGTGAATAGTTCCTACTATTGTATATTATTTTTATGTAATTTTAGGTTAGTTTTAGTTATCATGTAAGGTAGGTAATTTAGTAGGTTAAGATATAATCTGTATATATTGTAAGGACTGCTTTATTATTTTTATGTCTAATTTTTTTTTGTTTTTGTTGTATTACTTCTTTATAGTAATATAAATATGTTTTTTTAAGCCTCACTGTCGAATTGGGAAAATCCTGTAATGAGAGTGTAGGAAGATTTTTATAATAAATAAATAAGAAAAAATAGTCGCAATAAATAACGAATTTCCGACTGCTGAACTTCATGGGTGTGTTAAATTTCCAAAATGCTGTATACAGACGGTCAAAATCTCTCAAATTATTAGAATATGAGGAGACCACACAGTACGTAAAACTGTGTATCTGCCTAGCGTATCTGCCAAAAGAAGAAACTAAAGACGGTTGGCTTGCCATAATGGAAAACAGGTAGTTAAGTATTTTTTACACTTTATAAAAACTTGTCTATACCTTATATTTCTACTGTTGCACAATCATTCAATAGATTATTTTCTTTTCAGTATTCCAGAAGTATCTAACAAGTTCAATGATTATTTTGTTGAATAATGGCTTCAGCCTGCGGATATGATTGCAAAGTGGTGCTTTTATAAGGAAAAACATAAGACCACTAATTTAGTAGAGGCCAGGAATCACCGTTTAAAAAACCACCTGGGAAAGAATCCGTCTTTATTGTCGAGCACTTCCGACGTTTGGCTCCAAAGTTGAAGAGGACGGGGGCTGCGTTTAAGCGCATCCTTCCCAACCTCGGGGGGCCAAACGCCTCCTGCCGGAGGTTATACGCCGGGGTCGTGTGGTCTATGGCCCTCTACGGCGCCCTTGCGTGGGCGCCGAACCTGATGCAGCGGCCCGCTCGGGCGCTGCTCATGTCACAGAGGGTCATGGCGATCCGAATGAACCGTGGATACTCCACTATCTCCGGGAAGGCGGCGAACCTCCTTGCCGGATTACCGCCATGAGATCTGGAGGCGAAGGTGCTCGCGTGCGTTTATCGCATGCATGCGGAGGCACATTGCCGGGGCGAAACTCCGCTGGCGCGCCAGATAAGTGCGTGGCGGGAAGAGCCACAGCGTGATCTCACGGCGGAATGGCAGCAACGACTGTCCTCACCGGACATGGAAGTTTCGGGAGGTACCTGTGTCTGGAGGTACCTGTGGAGGACACGGTGGAACACACTGTAGCGGAATGCCCTGCGTGGGCTGAGCACCGCCGTGCCCTCAGAGAAGTGATCGGCGATGGCGACCTCTCGCGTCCGGGCCTAGTGCAGGTCATGATGCAGAGCGCCCAGCCTCACTCAGGCGGGAGTAGTCATTCGATGATTTTTCCCCCTCAGTAAAAAAAAATTGTTCAGATTTTTTTTTAATAAATGAATTACAGATAGTCAAGAGGTCAAAATTGTTATGGAAGAGAACAATTTTGTGATTCCAGTCAAGGCTTTGTCACGGAATGAAATTATAAGAAAGAAGTAACTTCCACAAATATAAAATAGTAAAGTTATCCTTACTTCGTATAATTTATAGGTAGTTATGTGTATCATGGTTACTTTATTTACAGATAATCACAGACCCAAGTCGAACATGTATTTTACTGACTCAATACAGAAGGTCTCAGAAGCCAAGCTAGCGTTAGTTAACATGCAGAAACTCGTCATAGAAACAAAGTTGCTGCATAAACAAAAAAAAACTGCAGGAGCTTGAATTGGAAGACAAAATAAAGGAGAACAAGTATAAAGAGCTAATACGGGAAAAAGAGCTCGAATTATTGGATTTAAAAATTAAAATGTACAAATAAAAGAATGTTCATGATATTTTTGTGTTATTTTAGCATCGCTTTCTATTTATTATAACTCCTTGAAATTAGTCAACCAATTTTAGTTAATATGGTACAAATAACTCTTTCCTTATATATCACCACCGACAGCTGAAAGACGTCCACTGGACAAAGGCCTACCCCTTAGTCCTCCATGTTCCCTTATATAACAGAAGTATAATTATGAAAGTAATTCAATTAAATATAATAAAAGTCAACTTCGTTTTGGTACAATTTTATTGATTTACAGTAATTGAAAATATGTAGTTTTCAATCAACATTATTTTTGTTATATATTGGTTGCCTCTTGATGTACTTATAGAGGCTGTATGTAGTGCAGTTTCTTCAATAATAGGATATTCAAGATCCTCAAGTGGAGAATTTTAATATTATAAAATTGGCAGGTTGCGTAACACAGCAGTAGCCACAATTATGCCTGACACCCTATGCAAATTAATATTAAATCCCCGAGATAAAATGGGAAACCTCTTCTTCCAAACCCCAAAGACTCTTCTTTCTATAACATTTCTAGTTTTTATTTGTGATTCTTGATATAGTATTGGGACTTCCATCTGGCAGTAGGGTCATTATATATATAGTCTGGGCAAATCCACTGTCACCCAATATACTCGAAATGAAATATTAGAGAAATTCACTAAAAGCCAGTTTCTCTAATTGCTCGTAACATTCAGAAAAATAGTTGTTGAAACGAGTGATTCACAATTCAAAATATAAACAATATAGGTACCTCGAAGTATTTGGATTAAAAGTGACAGCAAAAATAAAACCAAAGAAGGCAAAGAAGAAAAGAGATTCCAGAAATAAAAGCTTTCTACGTAAGAGACGATGTTAGTAGAATAACATCAGGTAAAAAGGAATGTAGAGTAAAAAATAAAAATAAACAACAAAATAAGTACCTTGTTGATATCATCCCAAATCTCCATAGAAAATACAGAGCAGAGGGAGGGCGTTATGACATTACTATTTTTTACAAACATAAGCATTTCTTTGTTTTATCTCCTCACATCCAATCCAGGTCCACTTGTCTATGCGAAAAACATGAGAATATCAAATTTCAATACGAGAGTTTACGGAGACATCGAATAATAATCGCTGATTTTGATAAAATATTGCAAGAATTAGTATGGGATACAAAAAACCTTGAATGCATATATAACAAATGTGGGAGATGCAAAAATAAAACACCGACATTTGCAGTAGATCAAGACATTCTACATACAGTTAACTGGAATCAGCAGGAACGCCAAGATCATGCATACACAAAAAAAGGTACCATAGTTCACACAAAAAAGACTGTTCACGTAACGAAGACTGATACAGCGCAAAAATTTATGGATGATTTTAGCCGCGATATTGTAGCTTTTAAGAAACACCATTACAATAATATTCACCAACAAAGAGAATACTAAAAGGCGGTTACAATTAATATTTCTCACAGGTCAAGCCGACGGCACCGACCATGAAATAACAAACGTTTTTATCCCTTCGGGGAAACATGTTTGTTATTTTGTTGACTGCCGCGGTTCTAAACTGTAAATTGAGCGGTATTGTTAAATTTAAAAACTACTTTGAAACATCCTAAAACCAATAAAGAAATTGCACCTTTCTTAGATCCATGCCACATGATTAAATTGGTACGCAACACTTTTGAAGCGAAGTCAGTTATTTTTAATAATGAAAATAAAGAGATAAGATGGCAACTATTAAAAAATCTTAACAAACCAGGGCTTGAATTTTGCCAACCGACTTACACAACGGTACTAAAATTTTCGCAATGAAATTATAAAGGTCAAATTAGCCACACAACTTTTAAGTAGAAGTATCGCAAATGCTTTGCAGCTTTGCGAAGAAACATCGCGTTCATCAAATTTTAAAGATTCGGGGGTCCCACTAAAGAGTTCATAATATTATTTAATTACTTGTTCGACATTTTCAATTCGAGAGCTCGTGACAAATTTGGTTTCAAAAAGCCTGTCAGTTCAGGTAATGCAAAAAAAATATTTGCTTTTTTTAGAAAAGCAAAAAAATATATACTTGAATTGCGTACTTACAGTAAAAACAGAATTCCCCGACGTGGACATGTATTTATGAAAATAACTAAAAAGAAGCTCGTGTAATGTAAATCTAAAACCGGTTTCTTAGGATTTTTGATTTGTATCAAAAGCCTTAAATATTTATTTACGTCTCTTGATGAGGAAAGGCTAAGCTACATTTCTATATATAGTTTTTAAGTCAAGACCACATTAAAATAATGTTTGGAGATATACGTCGACATGGAGAGTATAATAATAACCCAAATACAATCCAATTCAAACGAATTTATAAAAAAAATCATTTGGAATTGCGATCTGCCTGTACAGGTTGTCCGATACTAAATTGCTCATCAGCAGTAAAAAACATAAATTACACGTGCATCGGGCGGGTTCTGGGTGAAAATTGGGTTATAGATGAGTTTATGAACTTGGAAAGTGATAAAAAATCGGA